CCTTCACTTCCCAATTGAGGAAGGAACTGAAGGTTTCAAAGGCTGCACAGCCTACAGAACAGCCCATAGGCATGGCCTTGTAAAAGTATAACTGCCCTTCGAACTTTAATCCAAGGAAGCAAAAATTGTCAGGGTGGACAGGGATAGCTGGAAGGCTGACAGTATTGCATGCCCAGACAAGCCGGACAGCCTTGTCAAAAGAGTTGTACCTAACAGAGTATAATCATTGACAGATAGCCCAGGAGGGTGAGACAAGTGGCGTAAGAGGCAGTATTTGCCCACTGCCTTCTTAGGCACCACTCCCAAAGGGGAAACCCACAAATTGGGCATTGGTGACTCAGAGAAGGGGCACTCCATCCACCCCACCTCACATTCTTTCCTGATTTTAACTGTGAGAAACTGAGGGATGTCCTGGGCTGAATTTAGGTTCCTGGCATCAGATGCCACCCTGGGTCTCATAGTGAAAATCTTAACACCCTTTGAAAAGCCTTCTTCTAAAAAGAGAACTGCCTTCTTGTCCAGGCACGTGCAGAGGAAGAGGGACAAGGCTGCAGGGCAGACAGGGGTGAAGGCATGATGAAAAAATGGGTCAGGCAACCTCGATGAAACTATTTAGGACCCCCTATCTCTCCAGTTTCTGAGCCAGAAACTCCCTCTTTTTTACCAGAGGCTGCCAAGTTAGGGCATCCTGGGCAAAGGGCTTCTGCTCACTGGCAGGGGAGGAGCAGGCAAGTTTGGTCTGGGGGCCCAGGCAAAGCTTGCAGCTGTGCTTGAATTTGCAGTGAGAGCAGATACATTTCTCCCAAATTGAACTTCCACCACACAGGCCTGTGGGAATTCCTCCTCCTTGCCCATTTAGAAGGTCTGGATGAATCCCTGTTCCCCATAATGTGGGGAACCCAAGGACAAGTCAGAGCTTATTATAATAATAATAATAATAATAAAATTTATTTCTATACCGCCCAATGGTCACCCAATCCGGGCGGTTTACAAGTTAAAAACAATTTACAATAATAAGATATCCCTCCCCCCCCTTAAAACAGTATTAAATAATAACACAATTAAAACATCAGATTATAAAGGAAATTAAAATTTAACAATTAACAAGATTGTAGCAGGTAACTCCTTGCTACTATTGAAAAGGAGCCAGAATTGAGAAAAAGGAGGGAAACTGGCAGGGCCAGGTCATGATGCCCATTTCTTAAAGACCATGTCATATTCGATGGCCACCACCTTGCCTACCAAGGCCTTGGCTTTGAGGACATTGGCCATGTGGTTGAAGAGGTGCCAACCTCACTCTAGATAAACCATTTGGACCACTCTCATAAAAACAGAGTAGCCCACTAGTCTATTTGTAAGGGACAACTCAACTGGGTCGCCTCTTGCCTCCCTCTTCTTTTTTTGAATAAACCCTTTTCCACTTCAGGTTTGAGTAAGGTAAAAACATCAACATTATACACCTTGAGGATCCTTTCCCTGGCCTTTTTTGCTACAATGGATATGGGGGGGGGGGG